TCTCACTTGCCCTATCTGTTCCTCAAGCAGATGTGGTATTTTCTCTAAGAGCATAAGATGTTGAAGATGAGTACTCGAGAGCAATGCTAGGTAAGTAATCAGGTAAGGGGTTCCAGGCAGTCAGTTCCTGACTGGAAGCTTGATTCCAATTGCTGACTGATTGCTCCCTTTCTCCCTGTCTTGCAGGTAAAAACAAGGCCAAAGGAAAAGATAGGGAAAAAGCATGATATGGGATACTCTTGCTTTTAACCTTGATGATATGAGATATTCTTGCTCTGGTGTAGCTTGTTTGCAGAGGTATTATCGGGGGGAAAGAAAGCTGAGTATTTCGAGAGGCTTCGTTGGGAGTGCCCTCTCAGATATGAGGAAGGGTTGAGCATTTTTGCAGGTTTGCCTGTCCGTTGAGGATGGAGGTCGACATATATAAGAGTCTCTCTAACAACAAGTAGTAATGCTATTCCTTTACCCTGGTCATAACACGGTAGTGGGAGCTGCCAGCTTCACGTGTTTTAACTCTGTCAGAGCACTTTGAAAAAGTGGTCTGTGATATTTGGAAAGCTGATGTTGTGTGTGAAGATTACAGACAAGCTTTATCCAATGAGATCTGGCTCTCAAAGTTGAGAAAGTGGTGCCTCTTCGGTTTTCGAATAAGCAATCCTGTCGGGGATCTGGCTCTCGAGATTCGGAGAACGGTGCCTTTTCAATTTTTGAGAAAGCAATCCTGCTAGGAGTCTGGCTCTCGAGATTCAGAGAGCGGTGTCTCTTCGATTTTTGAGAAAGTAATCATGTTGGGATTCTGGCTCTCGAGATTCGGAGGGCGGTGCCTCTTCGATTTTGGAGCAAGCAATCTTGTTGGGAGTTTTTTCTCGAATGTGAGTAAAGGTTGGACATGTTTGTTAGTCTACCTTGCCATGGAGCACAGAGGTTGACACACAGGGACTTTCCAATTATCCAGCAGTGGTGTTGTTCCTTTACCCTTGTGGGTAATAATATTGTAGCTAGACCTTCAAAATTTATGTGTCTAAACTTTGTTAGTGCTGTTTCTTTGCTATTCTTTTACCCTTCTTGGTCATAGCGATGTAGTGGGAGCTGCAAGCTTCACGTGTCTAAACTTTGTCAGAGATCTTTGACAAAGTTATCTGTGGTACCCATGAGCTAATGTTGCGTGTAGAAAGTGGATGATTGAACAGTAAGATTCACGTGCTTTCTACTTCACCAGAAATCTTCGACAGAATGCCCGTAATTTCCGCAAGGCTGAGTGTGCATGTGACAGGTGCTGACAAGGCTGAAAAAGCAGGTGCCTCTTCGATTTCTGAGAACGGCCCTCGTGGTCTCTGAGCAGCCCAACTTTTGAGAAAGCAAGCACCTCTTTGATTTCTGAGATCGGCCTTCGTGGTCTTTGAGCAGCCCAGCTTTTGCGAAAGCAAACGCCTCTTCAATTTCTAAGATCGGCCCTCGTGGTCTCTGAGTAGCCCAACTTTTGAGAAAGCAAACGCCTCTTCGATTTCTGAGTAGGCGCCTCTTCGATTTCTGAAGCTCCGTCGAGTGCAGATTTTTATAGAGGCTGGCATTAAGTTCCAAAGCACACTTGAATCTCCACCAGTAGAAGCTCCATTCGTACACTTCTAAGACCTTGATTTGTTCGACCTCTTCTCTCTTCAACACCTTTGAAAATGTCTGGCCCATCCGACCGTCATTTTGACTTGAACCTTGTTGAAGAGGCAGCCACACCTTCTCCAGACAACATATGACGCCCATCCTTCTTATCTCCTACTGGTCCTCTTACCGTTGGGGATTCCGTGATGAAGAATGATATGACCGCTGCGGTGGTGGCCATGAACCTTCTCACTCCCAAAGATAACAGACTACTTTCCAAACAGTCTGATGAGTTGGCTGTTAAGGATTCTCTGGCTCTCAGTGTTCAGTGTGCAGGTTCTGTGTCTAATATGGGCCAACGCATATTTGCTCGAACCCGCCAAGTTGAATCATTGGTGGCTGAAGTGATGAGTCTCAAACAGGAGATTAGAGGACTCAAGCATGAGAATAAACAGTTGCACCGGCTCGCATATGACTATGCTACAAACATGAAGAGTAAGCTTGACCAGATGAAGGAATCTGATGGTCAGGTTTTACTTGATCATCAGAGGTTTGTGGGTTTGTTCCAAAGACATTTATTGTCTTCGTCTTCTGGGGTTGTACCGCGAAATGAAGCTCCAAATGATCAACCTCTTATGCCTCCTTTTTCTAGGGTTCTGTCCAGTACTGAGGCTCCGAATGATCCCCCTCCGGTACCTTCTCTTTCTGGGGCTCTACCAACTGCTGAGACTTCTCCTAAGCAACCTTTGTGAAGGCTCCCTCTTGTTTGTTTATTTTGACTCATGTATATGTACATATTTGTAACTTATCAGAGATATCAATAAATAAGCTTTGCTTCATTTCAACGTATTGTGTTAAATACACCAAAGCCTTCTTCACTAAGTTCTTTGAATTTTTCTTTTGTTGAAGCTTGTATGTTGAGGCTTTGTGAGTGGAGCATGTAGGTTGAAGTAGTGTTCCCTTAATTTCTCAAGTGAGGAAAACTTTTCGGTTTGAGACTTGAAAAATCCAAGTCACTGAGTGGGGTCGGCTATATGAATCTTAGAACGCCATTGTGCTCGGTCCTGTGTTGTGTCTTCCGTTAGATCCAAGTACTCTAAGTCTTTTCTTAGAGTCTCTTCCAAAGTTTTCCTAGGTCTTCCTCTACCCTTTCGGCCCTGAACCTATGTCCCGTAGTCGCATCTTCTAACTGGAGCGTCAGTAGACCTTGTAGTCGCATCTTCTAACCGGAGCGTCAGTAGACCTTCTTTGCACATGTCCAAACCACCGTAATCGATTTTCTCTCAGCTTTCCTTCAATTTTGGCTACTCCTACTTTACCTCAGATATCCTCATTCCTAATCTTATCCTTTCTCGTGTGCCCACACATCCAACGAAGCATCCTCATCTCCGCTACACCCATTTTGTGTACGTGTTGATGCTTCACTGCCCAACATTCTGTGCCATACAGCATCGCCGACCTTATTGTCGTCCTATAAAATTTGCCCTTGAGCTTCGGTGGCATATGGCGGTCACACAACATGCCGGATGCACTCTTCCACTTCATCCATCCAGCTTGTATTCTATGGTTGAGATCTCCATCTAATTCTCCGTTCTTTTGCAAGATAGATCCTAGGTAGCGAAAACGGTCGCTCTTTGGTATTTCCTGATCTCCGATCCTCACCCCTAACTCATTTTGGTCTCCATTTGTACTGAACTTGCACTCCATATAGTCTGTCTTTGATCGGCTTAGGCGAAGACCTTTATATTCCAACACTTCTCTCCAAAGGTTAAGCTTCGCATTTACCCCTTCCTGAGTTTCATCTATCAACATTATATCGTCTGTGAAAAGCATACACCAAGGAATATCATCTTGAATATGTCCTGTTAACTCATCCTGTTAAGAGAGTGGTTATAACATCTTCTATGGCTGCAGTAATGATGACTGGAAAACCTCTGACCTCTGATGTGGTTCTGGACGAAACATACTATTCAGATCCACTTTTTTGTGAGAAGATCAAGGTATGTATGTGTACGTTCCCGTTCTATTTATAATATTGAATATAGAGGTAAGCATAACACAAGACAATGCAGTACATGATGATGACTACAAACCCATACGAACTCCCTTCTTCATTTGTTCAGCAATGGTATCGTCTCTCAAAAACCTTAGCTGAGCCGGCCGCTTGGAAATTTGCCAAAGGAAATGGGATTGACTTGGTTACAATACATCCAGGGTTTGGGATTGGTCCACTATTACGGCCAACTCTAAATCTCTCCATCAAGTTTTTTCAGAATCTCATCAGTGGTACAATTCATCCCCTTTGTGTTTAACAATATTCTTTGTGATGCCAGCTATAAATTGTGTTTTGCTTCTCTTTTGTGGTCAGGTATTGAAACACCGTTTATAAACTACCCATTGGTAGACGTTAGAGATATTGCCTCTGCTCATATTCAAGCATTTGAAGTTCCTTCAGCTAAAGGTAGATATTGTTTAGTTGCCCAAGTCGCTGACGGACCTGATACTCACAAGATTTTGCAACAACTTTACCCCACATTGTGCCTTCGGAGTTCGGCAATCTTTGTGACTCGAAGTTTCAAGTGTCCACAGAGAAAGCAAGAGGTTTGGGAATCACTTTCCTCCCTCTGGAAACGAGTCTCAGACACCGTTGAAAGCCTCAAGGAGAAGGGCTTCCTCAACATTTGAATTCTACTACTTGCAGCAATTTGCTACACGAGTAGTCGATCAACTAATTGGTAAGTGAAGTTGGTTTTATGCTGAAGTATCCCAATAGATGCTGGGCGTTATATTTTTCCCGTAAAATATTTTAAATGTATTCCTTAGGCAAATGCTCAGAAGTTGCTTTTAGATCTTTATTAATACATATCTCATGTGTAATTTGTAATATTTCAATTTAACTCTAAACGACAAATTTCAAGTTGAAATTGTTATCCTCTACTGTGTTTAAGCAATCTTAATTAAGGCACTCTTGATATCTTTGCAAGTTGAGATTTCTTTTCCCTTTTGTTTCTTGCTTATTTGTTATTTGTTTTGTTCCACAGACAATCTTGCATACGGTTGGTTGATGCTTTCCGACAACATCTGTTAGCTATCCCACATCCGTGGGCTAAAAGAAAAATAAGGACTTTAAATAGGCTTATCCCACTTTAATTGTAACATCCCACATCGTCCAGGAGAGTGGATCTTGTAAGCCTTATATGTATATTCTCATATCTAACTAGCACAGGGTCTTCCCAAAAACAAAACCGTAAGGGCGTGGTCTGGGCTCAGACAATATCGTGCTACGGCGAAATTAAGCCCGGAATATGGTGGGGTCTAGGCCAGGATGTGACCTTAGCCAACACTGAGATATTTTGTGATAAAACCTCTAATTACATGTTGGTGATTAATATCGTGTTGTTCAAATGGGTCTCTTGGGCTTGTATCATCATTTTTCAATATGCGATTACTTTCGCAAATATATTCTTTATTTTTATTTATTTATGTTTTCTTGGCCTTATGCTCACGTACCATTATTTCTCAAATTACTTTAGTCTAAAAAAGGCTTTTCAATTGCACTATTCAAATGAATAGTAACTTGGAGTGGATTTTGAGTTATTTACAAAATTACCATCATCTCTTCACCGCAAATTGAAAATTTCGATTTATTTACAAAATTACCACTGCTTTTGCACAGTTTAAGAGCACCCACGCGTCAGTCATCGTGGAATGCTCTGCTTCGACTACATTTCCATCCGTTTCCGTCCCCATTTCTTTCCCTCTTTTTCTCTCCCGACTCTCTCTCTCTCACTGCCCTATTCTCTCACTCCCGCTCACCATCTCACTCCAGGCAATACATACATGAACTCGATGAGAAGCCACCATCTCTTATCTACAAAGCGAAGAAGAGCTCAGCAGATTGTATGTTACTCCTCCCCAATATTTTCTGTATGTTTTCTTCAATTATTTGTTTTTGGGTTTGTTTCTTTCCCGAGAATAAGAAGAAAGAAACAGGAAAAATTAATATTGGGTAGTTAATTTATGTTGGAGTGTTATATTTATTCAAGACATCAGGGGAATTAGGTACATAATTGATTGATTACCTGAGTGAATTTCTTTTATTTTTTCTGAAAGGATTTGTTTTTTTTTTTCTGGGATTTTGATGTTTTCTTGAATTTTACCACTTTGGTCGTGGCTTCCACTCAAATGTTAATTTAATTTATTTTTTTTGGGTATTATAGCAAATTATATATATAGTTTGCTGTTATAGTTTGGTCCTTTTTATGCAGTAGATTGTAGAAAAATGATCAAAAACAGCTTCAAGCAAGCACATGAGTTTGGTAAGTTTTGGTGTTCATATGCTGAATTTGTTTATGCTTTGTGTATTGTCTATTCAATTTATATAAGTTTCAGAATTTATAATTGTGATGTTTATGAGTCTACGGAGTAGGTTGCATAATTGTGCGGCATCTTTTATATGCAGAGAAGAGACGCGCTGAATCTCACTCCGCCATTCGCCCCTCCGTCCTCTCATGATCTCTCACACCCTCTCTCTAATTTCAGAACAATATTAAGCAGCTTGAGCTCTCTTTGCATTGAATAAATGGCAGTCATCTAGAGGGGATTTTTCTTTGCCTTTTTGTTGGGTTAGTGAATTTTTAGCTTAATTTGGGTAGTGTAGGTTCTGTTTTGGCGTAATTTCGATTTTCAACTCTAATAAAATATTGGTTTTAGGGATTTCTTCTTTGTGATCATCTTCATGTTTGATTGGTGATTTAGCGTGTGGATTGTCTACTTCTTTGATGAAAACTCTCACCGTTGGGACTTATATAGGTTTCTCATATTTTCTTGCACCATTTGTGAGGGATTTAATTTTCCTTTTATGGGGTTTCTTATACTCAAGGTATGATTTACATTCTGGAATTCATGGTTCAATTGGAAACCACGATGACATATCAACGTGTGTAGGACCCTTGATTTTGTATTATTTACATTCCTGCCATTGCCAAAAAGCATGGGCTACAGAGACAAAGAGAGGGAGATAGGCGGGGGATGGCAGGGAGGGTAAGGGAGAGGGAGGAGTGAGGTTGCCATAAAAAGGGGTTATGGTTGATTTTTTCTCCTCAAATCAAGGGTTGGTGTCGGGATTGAGGGATGTGTCAAAATTGCCAATAGAAGCCTAAATTAATGGGTAGCTGTCGGTGATTGAGAGATTGAGAGGGAGAAAATTGGGGGAGGTTGTCACTGTAGATAGAGTGAGGGATTTTGTGAGGATTACATTGACTTATTGACTGGGAACACAATACAAGACATGCTTCCGGTAAACCGCCTCTGTCGTTTTCCTCCTCTCGCCTTCGTCTACCTCCTCTCCCCTTCTTCATCTCCCTCCTCCTCCTCTCTCTCTCTCTCTATGGAATCGATCGATCTTCAAAGAGGATTAAAAGATTTGAAATGGTGTGCTTCTTCTACTGTGATTCTGTGTTTTTTATTTTTCTGGGTTTGGCTTCTTCTGTTATTCCACTACTAATTTACAAAAATAATGAATTTTGTACATTTTGTTATATTTCATTGCAATATCAAATAGAGTTGGTATTTTAAAATCTCACTGCAATTTTTTTTGTTATATTGTTGGTGGGTATCTTTAATTATGCCCTGAAGGAGGAAGGCAAAGAGGACAGACCTGGGTTTGGGGCATAAAATGGATCTTTAGATTTCTGTGAAAGTACTTTGTGCCTTTTTGCTATTGGTGCTGAGCGTTCATGAATATTTATGCTTTAATATAGCTGTTACAGGAGCAAGTTGTTTAGTTAAAATCCTAAGAAGATTAGGGTAAAACATTCCGGTTGTCTCATTATTGATAGTTTGAATTTCTGCAATCTCTAAGATATATTTGGGATAGTTTCATAGTGATATACATCAGGGTTCAAGAAAAACTTTGCTGCACTGCACTATAGGAGTATCTGGTTGATGAAATTTTTCTGATTTAAGCATTTAGCTCCTCGGCTGCATTAAATCAGTATTTAAAGAAATTTTTGTCTGAGAATGCATTGATAGAATTTTTTTTGCCCAAAAGTTAACTCACGGGGCTTCCTGTGAGTTAGTCTTAGCTTTTTATTTAAATTTTTTTTGGAATTATTATCATTTTTTTCTCTCTGCTGCTGTTTTGGATTTTTTTTAATGATTTTTATGCGATGTTCATCTGTGTAGGCACTCAAATTAGTGTTTTGGAGTGCATCTTGACCAGACCACCACAAAAGAGAAAACGGAAACCAAAATCAGAGCCATCAAAACAAACAAATGCTGGTATGTCCTAAAAAGGGTTGGTTTGTGCACTTTCAAAGAATATATGGAAGAAGAGAATATTGATCATGGTGTAGAATGTGATGGTAATGTGGTTGAAAAAAGATAAAATATTGCACGAAAAGATCTCAGAGCTCATTGACGAAAATATGCAGCACCGGGCTGAGTTGATAAGGAGAAACAAGGAGAATAGTGAAACAATTGAGTGGCTTTTATCCCAGGTGCATAAGCTAACGGATGAGAACAAAATTTGAGGATTAATCTGGGAATCCATAAGGATACTACTGATCATACAATTACAATCCATAAGGATGCTACTGATTATACAATTACAAGGCAAAACAAGCCTCAGTTTTCAAAGTCAGTCCATGGGGCCATCTTTCCTTGGAAGGCTCACTGGATGCCTAGAACTTGGATCTTAATTAGCTACTCTTCAACTTTAGTAGGTAGCGTTATAAGTTTTCAAATGTATCTGTTTACATGCTTTCATAATACATGTGAAGATTCCAAGTCAATTATAACATATTTCATTTTTTAATTTTATGAGTATAGAAAAGGAACTTAATGCTTCATTATTTTGATCTTGCAGCTGAAGCCAAGTCTGGATAGAGAGAAAGATCTCATGGCAGGAATCATGGACTTGATGAAGGTGAGGTTAACAAAGTGTGCTTTAGCACCAAGATTAGAATCTGGGTGTTCTGAGTTTTGTTTTGTTGTGATTTTTCTATAATCTAGATGCTGAAATACTTGGAGTTGGAATTAATAAGAATTGATTGAACATGGATTTTTTATTAGATTGGTATGGCCGACATAGTTAAGAAGTAGTTTAAGATGCAGTGATAAGGGAATTTCTTTAACTGAACATATTTGTTTTCGTGAGGTAGATAGAATCCTCTGTAATTTAATTAATTAGATTGAAATTTGGGGTCTGGATTCTTAAACTATGGTGGTTAATGTAGCTTTTTTGGTGAATTTTTCAAGTGGGGAAAAAGAGGTGGGTGTGGGATTTATATTGTTATTCTCAGTTGGTATATAAATATTTGAGTGTGCAAGAAATGGTTACCATACAAGAAATACAAGAACTGAAATTAGAAGGGGTAAGGGCAGTTTGCAGAGGGTTGGTTCGGGGATGGTAAAAGTTGCGTACGTGGCGAGATTAATGGTGGTGGTTTCGTCGGGGTGTAGTTCTCCGTGAAAAATGGTGACGGCGGTCGCCTTGCTATTTCTGTGCAGCGAGCACAACATCAAGAGAGAGAGAGAGAGAGAGGTGAGAGAGAGAGAGAGAGAGAGAGTAGTAGAGAGGGAGGGAGACATGAGGGTGGTGGTAAACTGGTGCCTCGAAGGAGTGGCGAGTGTGGTGGTGATGGTTTCTCGAACGGGAGATTTATGGTGTACTAGAGAACTTGACTCCTCTCTCAATCTGGTCTCTGGAGAAGAAAACCAAACATAGCTATGCATTAGCAAAATTTGAAATGAGGGTTTTTAATCTTTGGCATGATATTGTCTTTATTTGATCATTCTTTGAAAAACATTCTGATGGACATGTGAAATAAACTGAATGAAAACTTGGAGAAGAAGTTCTGATTTTTAATATCTTTAATTGGGGATTATTGTGATGCCCTTTGACAATTGAAATGTGAATGCATTATGTTGCTTAGAACACAAGTCAATATTTTTTAAACTGGAACAAAACTCCATTATCTAGACTTGAGTTTTGCTAAAATTGTTTTATAAATTTCATTATAGTTAACAAAAAATAAACTTATGAAATCTCAATTATGATTGTTCATGTGCCCTTACTGAGAAATGTGTTAGGTATGATGGATGCTATAGATAGAAAAATGTTGGCTTAAGGTTGGATTCCAGGTAAATATGTGCCATCCTGGATGATGGAATTGCATAGCATCCTAAGTTTCTATATTTTCTTGAACAGATTTACTGAAAATGTTTTTCAAGGATATTCAAAAATAACTTTAATCTTCAGACTTTCTCATTGTTGCAGTCTCTAATGCTTTAGTTAATCCTATTAGCCTATTGTTAGATCAATTAAAAGAGTGTTTTAGCCTTCTGTTAGTGTTTCGTCTTATATACTTTCTCATTGTTAGATCAGTTGATTCTGTGTGGTTCATGTTTCTGGGTGTAAAATTGTTCATACAATCTCACTTTTGCATCTAATTAGGGAGCCGAAAAGAAAATTTTTAACATTTTAAATCCTAATTATCTCTATTTCAGCCAATGCATATTTTTTCCACCTAAAAGTCTTTGATGCATGTCTTTTTTTTTTTTTTAAGTATTGAAACATACATTGTTTGAAATTTGTTGAGCACTTGAAACTTTACAAGTTAAGACTTGGAATTTTATGATATATGATAACTGTTTTGTATGTTTGTTGTTAATTAAGCACGTGGGATACAACTCGGTCTTAGACACTTAATTAAGATTTATCGTTTGAAATTAATGGGGCACAGGTTATTCTCATGATATTGGCTGCAAATGCTGCAGACTGATTACAGAAACCAACGCAGAAAAAGCTTTTCAGGTAACTTTTACATTTATAGCATTTCAGAATTCGCATAAATACCAGAAAACATCTTGAAAGACTACCATTTCAAGCGGATCTTTTCTTTCATGTGGAAACCAAGCTTCCTTTTTCTTAACTCATTCTACTAAAACTTCAAATTATGTTCAATTTGTTGATTGGCTGTTAGCACTTAAGTTGATCTATTTATTTCCAATGTACCCTTTTTTATGCATGAGTGCTTTTCTGTTGCATGTTTAGAAGATGAATGCATCAATTCTTAGGTAACCTTCTTTTTGTTCTGTGATGTAGGACAGAGTAGGACAACGGAAATTAGATTGTTTAGCGGAAGTGAAAAGACATAAAACTTAAATTGAAACATCATTTCCATTTATGCTTCTGTTTTATAGGACTGGGGGGGGGGGGGGGGATAAAAACAGTATATTTTGTTGTTGCATGTTTCATTAATTCAAACTTTCAAATATACGCTCTCTTCATTATGCACAGTATGTTGATGTGAACTGAATCTAAATAATTTGTCTTTCTGTCGAAAATATTCATAGTATGTCCTGTATTACAGTTTTAAAACCCACAGCAGTGCTTGGGCAATTTTATTTTCCCTCTCCCTATATGTAGTTTAATATAATTCAACGAGTTCAAAGAGAATGATCAGAATGAAGGTTTGTATTAGATCCGATGTGCTTCCTCTTTCTATGCATTTTGGTTCAAATTAGGGTTTTAGGTTGAAACCCGAAACAAAAAGAGAATAAAGTTTTCAGGATCTTCGGATTTTGTGTTTCGATGAGAGGAAAAAATGAGAAATTTGTTAAGAAACGTTGTGGTCGGATTTTGCATGTTTACCGTTTTCAAGGTACGGTGTTCATCAATCTTAACTTTAAATTTGTTTCTCAATTTTTTTTGTAGTTTTGGATTTGTAAAAACCCTCGATTGAATCGGGTGCTGGTATGGTCCCTTACAGGAGAAAAAAGTTTCATTTTTTTCCCCTTAAAATTTTAGTTTTTGTTAATTTTTTTTTCTTCACAAGGGAACTTAGGTGGTAGCTGTATTACTAATTAGCTACAGAATTTATATATTCTTATGAGTACGGTATGGGTGCAGGTTTGCTATGTTGCTTTTTGGGATGAAATTACTTTAAATACAGAGGAAAATTTGATTGATATTATTGGGTTGTATGCAGAAATCTAAGTTTTACCTATTTTGATAATGCTTGGTTTTTGTGTATTGAGTTGCATAGACAGTTCATAGGTTTGGTTCCATATTTATTCGGAGAAGAAAAACACAAAGAGGGCAATACAATAACCCTAGGATGATTATATATGGAATGAATTAAATCTATTAACGAATTATATTTTGGGTGGTGTTAGGAAGAAACGCCTACACTCCAAATATTTATGAATTGGATTCATTATAAAATAGGTAAATTGTATGCATTACTTCTTTTGGCACTAAATCTTTTGTTAAATTTTATTTTGCTGACTTTTAGTTTTTGACTTTCCTTTGGCAGGACTTTTAATTAAGCATGCATCTTTGGTGTAATATTATCATATTCTTGAGGTTTGAATTTTTTTACTCTTACTTTTGTGACCATTATATGTTTGCGTATCTATCTTTTGGGTTATCCATCAATTAAAAATTATTATGTGAGGATTTTGATTGTTGACTTATCATTGGTATATTTCAAGTGGTTTTTGATATTTTGATAGGTGTTGGAAATAAAAGATGAAATTGTTTTGCGCTCAACGCATAGTTAATCTTAAAATAGGGTTTATTAAATTGGTTTGATATATATAGGTGGTAACAAATTAATGATGTCAACTCCTACAAGGAAGAGGCTGATGAGAGACTTCGAGAGGCTGCAACAAGACCTGCCTGCGAGGATTAGTGGGGCGCCTCAGGATAACAATATAATGTTGTCGGCGAGGTTAGTTATTTTTTAGGCTTTGCTTCTACAAACGTGAACTCTTTACATGGAAACCGAATTTTATGTGAATTTTAATTGTTATATATCAAACTCCTCTGCACTGAACTCTATGTATTACAACAATTATAATTAGAACTTGGATGAAATGGGCTCCATCCAGCAAAACTCCTGCCCTAACAATAATAATTAGAACCAAATTTGATAATTTCTCATAGTTTAGGCCATTTGGCCAAGTCAGAATGAGAAACACAGATGTTTTCTTTATCTTATGCTATTTGTTTGGCTGTAAATCGTATGGAGTAAATCTCTTGGTGTCATTCTAAATAAACTGGAAATATGTCTCATGCAAAATTAATGTTGATGTTTATCAATGGAAATAAGTTTTGAAGTGATTACCTTTTTTTTATACAAGTTCTCTTCACAATGAAACCTATATTATAGTGTCACTTTTACTTGCTTTCGCACAGGGGGGTGTCTAGACATGTAATTGGCGTGTCATTACTCACTAAATCCTTTTTATCCTTATCCTCTATATTAATATCACCATTTTTTTGGGTGCTCATTGAGTGGTTTGGCAGGTAATAGATAAACGTTTTAATGCATTCATATAATGTTATTGCAGATCCGCTAAATTCTTCAAGAAGTCCGGTTTACAGAACTGAAGCTGTTTAAGCACAAGGTGTCCCAGTTTATAGATGAGGTATTATAAAATTTAAAAAGCGTCAATATTATCATTACTGATCCTTAACATTTAACTATCAAAGCTTGAGTTTATAATAATTAATTCTTCACTAATGATATGTTGTGATGGGGTTTAGTAATTTTCAGTATTCTTCAATTCTTTTTAATCTGCAAAATCAAATAACCCATGGAATTTATGGCATACAATTAGTTTCCTTTCAGTTGGGTTGAAATGATATTGATTGTGCTGTTATGAAGCTCCTTTTTATAGTTAGGTTGAAAATCATATTGATAGATTCTTTATTTGGTTGGTCCTATCTGTAACAAATGGGATTGTTTTGTTTGATGTTTGAATCAAAATTTGATCTTTTTTTGTGTGAAATTATGATGGAATCGCAAATTTGTGAGGTATATCTTAGATTATTGGTTGCATAGTCACCTTCCCACAACTATCACATTGTCTCTTGACTAGATGAATTTTTATAATTTCCAGGATCTATGGTTGCAATACTTTTGATGCATGCAATCAAGAGGATGCTACCACTCTTATGGAGCTTCTTTGGCATGGTAAGTTGAAGTTGCATATCATTTTTTTTTCGTTCACGAAATTCGTTATCTTGCTATCCTGGCAATTAGCAGTGTCTGACAACTGGTGAAGAATATGAATATATGTGTTGAAGTTTGAATTATACAAATGAAAGTGAACTTTAACAACTCTAACTTAGATTTTTTATTAATTTCTTTCATTTGTGTTCGACTATTTTACTTTTTTGGTATATAAGTACAACTAGAGATCGAAAACCACATAAATTACCTAACAGCCAAGAAATTGTTTGTGGTAGAACATAACATGATGTAAAGCTCAAATTTTGGGCACTTAGATATATGTTTTTTTTTTTCAATTACAATCAGTCAGCATGAAAGTTCAATTGGATTTGTTCTGGTCTCCAAGAATTTTTCTTTGTTTGGTTACCGATTAATTTATGTGGCGAGAGTTTAGTTTTTGCTTTTCTGCCTATGTATATGTGATTTGAAATGGACAGTTCGATTTTCTATATATAAATTTGTAGTCAAAGAGTTCGAAGGAGAGGTGAAATAGAAACAATGGGGGGAAGAGTGATGGAGTTGAGGAGTTGAGGAGTTGAGAGTTAATGAGGTATACTTGAATTTCTGTATGATGTCCTTGGTATTGGGAGATCATTGAGACTAACTATCTGGTTGATTAATCACGATGTCCTTGGTATTGGGAGATCATTGAGACTAACTATCTGGTTGATTAATCACTAATTTGAACTATTTGTGCTTGGAAAATTAGCTACTTAAACAAGTACTCAACACTTTCTATGTTTTTTTTATTAACTGCTGAAATAGGTGCCTGCCCTGCAGGACACATATTTTGCCTTCTTAACTACAAGGGCAAAATATGTGTGAACTGCATGTTGCTTATGTTTCTTATGGAAACAGAACTTTTTTGGCAACCATGTCTTTGTGATCAAGAACGTTTAGTTTCTTCCTACTAATTGTACAATGTCTTTACATGTCAACTTAGTGAAATGTATATAAAAGTCAAACTACTTATCTTATCGACCTCATTCACTCATGTGTCCCTCTGTTCATTCATGATTGTGTTGAATTTTTTCAGGTTAAATGTGTCTTATTCATGCAGTTACGCTTGAAACAGTGGTTCCCACTGCAACGCGTGGGCTTATTTTCTAGTAAAATCTAATTTCAATATATATCCAATACATATTTGGGATGTAGAGAACAAATATGGGAGATTGTCGTAAAAATAATTATTGAGTTGTGGCGTGAAAAATGAAGAATATTGAGTTATATAAAACCACTTTTAGTAATTTTTTGAATTTTTACCCATCAGAATAATAATTTTTTGAATTTTTACCCATCAGAATAATCTTGCCATTGATTTCAACATTATAACCAATGGAATGTCAGAATTGTGCCACGTCAGGGTTTTTGAACTTTTAGGGCGGCTGGATGGGCATATGCCTTTCCCCCAATAGGCCTCTCATTTTTCCAACGGTGGAGCAAAGTTTCTTTGGGCAAGAAGGCAGTTTTACCCGATTACAAGCACAATTGGGAACTGCTGGAGATGCTCTAAATGTTCAAATTGCCTTTACTCACTCTCTAGAAGGAAGGCCAAAGCAGATTTCTCTGAATAATAAGCTAGATGTAGTTCGAGATCTTCAATTGGAAAACTAAATTGCTATTGAATCGTTATTAATTAGATTCAGACCAAAGATCTCTCACATAAATATCACAAGACTGTACTAGGTTTTAAAGTTTTGTGTACTAATTATACACTCCAAAAATCGCCTTAAATTAGCTCATCATGAACACCTCAAATGCGTGGTGGAGGATAGTGCCAAAAAAAAAAAAAAGAGTGGTGGACCATGAATGTCAAAATGATCATCCCATTAAAAACTAATAATCAAGTTAAGTTTCGTATACTAATTATAGGGTGCGTTTGTTGCACCGGACTATCTCGGACTAGACTAACTTCAAGTACTAAGCTGGACTGCCTTAGATTAGATTAAGCTCGACTAACTTAATGAAGTGTTTGATACAATATCGGATTACGAGCAAAATAATGACCAAAAAAAAAAAAACCATGATTTGTAACAAAATATTATCATCCAATGAAAGTGAACCCCAACATGAAAGTTTCTGCAGAATTAACCAAATTCTTCAATTTGCTATCCCAGAAAAAGCAGAACTAAATGAAATCATGCAATTTGCTATCCCAGAAGAAGCAGAACTATTGAAATCATTCAATTTGTTCAACCACTCCAAATTGCTCAAAAGCTCTAATATCCCAAAAAAATCAAATCCTTCAATTTGGTATTTCACAGACAACTCACAAATCCAACCCAATTCACAGAATCATTTTCCTGATATATGAGAGTTCATCTCCTTCATAAGTCCTCTGTTTATTTTCTGCTCAAGTAGTTATTTGAAGATTTGTAGCCGAATAGCTCTTCAATAACAACAACAGATTCCTTCTCGACCTTCCATCAAATACTTTGAAATCCTCCGTAGTTGTAATCCTTCGAGACAAAACGCAGAGTGCCCAACCCAGAGCCATTTTTCCTGTTCAAAATTTAGAAACCCAATTAGGGATTCCACTAGGAAGGAAAACCGAATCCCAGAAAAAACGAATTGAATACCTAGAAAAATCCAATCCAAAATATAATCGATGTATAAACCCTAAAAAATCAATTCGAAAACCCAGAAAAAGGGAAAATACTTGCAAATCAAGTCTTGCAGACTTGGACATTTTAGATTCGTTTGAATCGTTTCTGTCAAACCCAGGTGCAGACTTGTGGGTTCTTGCAGACCTGGAAATTCTTGCAGACTTGGAGATCTTTTGGACAGACGAGAGGGAGGTGGGGAGAGACATAGCGGGAGGGCAAGTTCTCATGTTTAGGGCGAGGCGAAGCGAGGGGAAGCGGGGAAACGGGACTAGCAATCCCCTCATTTCCGGGGGCTCTCGCTAAGCCCAGCTAACGAAGGATTTAGTCGGCACGAGTCCGGCTTAATCCCATTAAACTCAATCCGGACTTGCACCAAACACAGAATAATAATCCTATCCAAATAGTCCAGTCCAGTGAAACTTAAGGTAGCCAAACAAACACTCCCATACAGTCCAAAAATGGCCTTACATTAGCTCATCATGAACTGGTGGAGGACAGTGCCAAAAAAAAAAAAAGATTGGGTGGACCATGAGTGCCAAAATGATCGTCCCATTAAAAACTAACAATCAAGCTTAGAGAGAGAGAGAGAGAGAGAGAGATGAGTACTGTAGAAGGGAAGACTGTGTGCGTAACAGGAGCCTCAGGTTACATAGCATCATGGTTGGTGAAGCTCTTATTGCAAAAGGGTTATACTGTCAAAGGCACCGTTCGAGACCCAAGTCAGTATTTCTTAACTTGCTCATATCATCTAATATAATTCTAAGTGTGGTTCTTCGAATCCAAAACTTTATGCAAAAAGACAGGACTTGCAGCTTTCGTTTGGATGCCAAGCTTTCGTTTGGTATATTAACTTATCATTTCTGCTTCTCATTGCTTAAGAAACTAATTTTAATTAGAAAGAAAATGAGGCAATTGGCATGTAATTTAGTAGATTAAGAGCCTTCGCCTTTGTACCCAGAACCTGTGTTCAAATCCCCTCCTCATAGTTTAATGTAAATTATCCTCTCTTTTGTCAAAAATAAAAAAATAAAAAAAAAACCTATAAAGAAAACGAGCCTGTCCCCTCCCCCCCCCTCTAATTAGTTTGAATTGCGGCATGAACTGAATGGAAGTTATGATATATTTCAGTAGTAGTCTCTGTTTTGTTCATAAATGGCCCTACTCTTAAACTAATTGATTTTTAATTTGGAAATTGTGTTAAAATAATACTACCGGTAAATCTATTTTTGGGCAACTTAATTGCCCACTTAAATCTCCCTAGTGCAGTCGATGTTTGTCATATGTGTACTTATTTTGTGTTTAAATTTAATCAGTTCACTAATCACTATTTCTGTTTGCATATGCATGCAGATGATTCAAAGAAAACAGAACACTTGCGCTCATTAGACGGAGCCAAAGAAAGGCTTCATTTGTTCAAAGCAGATTTATTAGAAGAAGGGTCTTTCGACGCCGTAGTTGATGGATGCCAAGGTGTTTTTCATACAGCGTCCCCTGTACTGCTTTCAGTTACTGACCCTCAGGTTCGTCGCCCTTTTACATCATGATTGCATAGTCCAGAAAAAAGAAATCTGAAAAGTCTAAAGCACTGTATTTAATTACTTTGGGAAAATTGGCTTACTTTCCAGAATTTTAATGTTAAATCTGGAACTATTTTAGGGAGAACTACTTGACCCTGCAGTGAAGGGAACACTTAATGTTCTACAATCATGCGCGAAATTTCGTAGCATCACGAGAGTGGTTTTAACATCTTCACTTGCTTCAGTAATGATGACTGGAGCCCCTCTGACCTCTGATGTGGTTTTGGATGAAACATGGTATTCGGATCCACTTTTTTGTGAGAAGGACAAGGCATGTATAAATGTTCCCGTGTTATCTTTCTTTGAGTTTTGCATTTTACTTCTCGTTAATTTATTATATTTCAATGTCAGTAGGGAAAATAATCTGATCTTGTTAGGTTAGCATGAACTGCAAGGTCATATGAACTTCTTTGTTTCTTTGTTCAGCAATGGTATTTGCTCTCAAAAACTTTAGCCGAGGAGACTGCCTGGAAATTTGCTAAAGGAAATGGGATTGACTTGGTGTCGTTGAATCCAGGGTTAACCATTGGTCCGCTCTTACAACCAACACTTAATTTCTCCGTCGAGCTGCTTCGGAACTTCATGAGTGGTATTTTCAGTTACTCAATTACTTCTTGGGTTAATAGCTAGTAAAACATCATCAACCAGTCCCTTCGTGTTTAAACAGTTGTCCTTGACTTGTGATGCAAGCAATTGATTGTGTTTTGTTTCTCCTTCTTGCTCAGGTACCCCAACAACTTTCAGTAATCCATTCGTTGACGTTAGAGATGTTGCCTCTGCTCATATTCAGGCTTTCGAAATTCCTTCAGCTAGTGGGAGATATTGTTTAGTTGGTCAAGTTGCTGACGACCTTGATACTCTAAAGATTTTACGGCAACTTTACCCGACTTTGACCCTTAATGAAGTTGTCAATCCCTCCGACTCAAAGTATAAAGTGTCCAAGGAGAAAGCAGAAGGTTTGGGAATCACTTTCCTTCCTCTGGAAACAAGTCTGAGGGACACTATTGAAAGCCTCAAGGAGAAGGGCTTCCTCAAGATTTAAACGCCTCAGTCTTCCTGCCGCATGTTAATCATGTGTAAAAATCACACTAAATAAAAGGTTCAACCTTTATATAAGGATTGAACACATATGCAACCTCTAGTGATGCTTTCAAGTATGAACAATAAAATGTAATGTAATCCTTGGTCTTGGTGGCACTTTAAACTCAATAATTTCATTATGAATAGTATGTTAACCCATTGAATTGGTGTCTTGAAAAGATGTCAACTCTGACTCTCCCACTCCAGTTGTCACTTTTCTTTTTGTTAATTAATAGGTCTCCAAATATTTTGCTCATGTTTAATCTTTTTTGCTTATAACAAAGGCACTTTGACAAGAACTCAAACCTCATTTGCTCGAACTATTTGGTGAACATTGCCAACGTAATATTTGTAGAAATTTCTCCCTCTTGTTCTTTGGACTGCACCTTAAGTGTTTGATGAAAGACCAATTCAAAATTTTCTTCTTTTTTCTCCCTTTGAAATTTTCATGGACTTGTTTTCCAATATTTAAATAAAGACATAAAATTTAGTCAAACATTCATAGCACACAATGAATTGCCATAAAATAATTATTCAGAGCTGAAGAAGACTGAAGCTGCCTTATTTGACCTTAACGTCCAGATGACTTTTCACCACAAAAAACAAAAACTGAACCAAACCAAAGCTTATTAACTCGATTTTGAGAGAGAGAGAGAGAGAGAGAGAGAGAGAGAGAGAGAGATAGGGATGAGTACTAGAGAAACAAAGACTCTGTGTGTGACAGGAGCATCTGGTTACATAGCATCATGGCTCGTGATGACACGCCTCGATCTCGATATTCTCCGAACACCAAAATAGACATGTGCTGGCTGACACTCGAGGGTGATGAAAACCATTTATTGAATGCAAATGCTGAAAACAAGAAATAAATAGGAATTATAAATTTAAATATAATTAAAATGCAAATGAGGAACGTATTCAGAGCATACAACTAACTAGAATACTAAAAAGAAATAATATAAAATTGAATGAATAAGAGGATGGGTCCTACACCTAGAGGACTCGAAGATGCCGATGCGGAAATGCTTGGACGCTGAGATTGTATGCCTCGATTCTAAGTCTTGAAGGGGGCGCAAAACAAACATGAGTAGACCAAATTGATATAGATATAATAAAATAGTTATCAACATACTAACCCTCAAAGTTTAGTGAAAACTCATATAGCATGATAAATAAAATAGGTTTTCCGAAACCTAGCATGCCGTGCAATGTCTAAAAACATATCTCGTATATATAGTAATCGCTAGTGAATGTCCAATCTCACTCCAAACCCCGTGCCAGCTTCCCGTCCCTGTGCCAATTGCTAAAGGAAAATCACCTTCAGACCCCGTGCTAGCTTCCTGTGTCTCTTACCCCGTAGCTAGAGATTATTTCTTCAGGCTCTATGCCAACACTGTAACCTCGCCCGTGAAGGAATCTATCCCTCGCCCCGTAGCAGAATAGAGACCACTAGTTAAGTACAAAACCATTGAACATACATATATTTGAAAAGCAACTTCGTAGTATAAGGTCATCCATCATCTATACTATAAAGAGGTGTTCGAAACATGTTCTAAATATTATATCGTCATCCATTAGATATTCTATAAAGAATACGGGTTATAAGAAAAATAGTAATAATTCAAACTAGCCTCAATAAGCATGTTATCTTATAAAACATAATCATTAAATCATGGTTTTCAAGTATGCATTTCTACTATTAAAACATGCATTTTTAGAAGGGGTCCACTCACAAATACTTTGCCGTCAAAGAGCCATGCAAACTAGCGAAGATGAAATTGCCACAATATATGCACCTAAGCACATAAAAGGTCCATTTAATAAAACTATATTAAAACAATTGAATTTGGGAAAACGGACGTCAAAAACGGATTCAAGATGTCGAATTATCCTAAAAAAGGGTCCGGGGTAACTTTCTAAAAAGTCAACAGGGGAATATTCCAGGAATATTCTTGGAAGGTTCCAAATGGATCTGTGCTGGTAGGTTTGGGCTGAAAGCCTTATGGGCACAAAGGCCTGGTTTCAAAGGGTTGGATCCCTTTAGGGCTTAGTGTTTGGACCTTAAAGGGTATTGGGTTAGATTTAGGTGGGTTGGACTTAAAGGGTTTGGGTTTAGTTTCAAACAAATAAAATAAATAAATAAATAAAAGGGGTTCGGGCTTTAGAGGTCACGGGCCTAAGGCTCGAGTTTTAAATGGCCCAAAGGCCTAAGTGACAAAGGGTTAAGGGTTTAGGCTAAAAAGGTTGGGCCTAAATTCAGATTTAGGTTTGGGTTTAAAAAGGTTTTGGGTTTGAAAGGTTATGGGGTTAGGCTGCCCAAAAGGGCTGGGTTCCAAGGGTTTTTTGATGGGTTGGGTTGGAAGGCAGCTAGGCTTGGGTCTGGCCTGCTGGGTTGGGTTTAGAGTTTTAGGGTTAATGGGTTTAGGCTTTAGGCTAATGGCTTTGGGTTTCATTTGCTTGGGCTTAGGGAATTGGGTTTAGGTTGGGCTCAGCTTTGGTTTGGGCTGCGCTACCTTAGGCCAGTTCTTTGGCTCGTTTGTTATGTGGGTCACCGGAACCAATTATAGCAGAAGGCCGGATTTCGGCCGGGAGATTGAACAAACTTTGAACGTTCATAACTTTGTCAATACCCAACGAAATCAAGTGATTCAAAAATAAAAATCATAGTTCTCGATGAGACAAAGAGAATGGTACCTCGTATG